AGCTGATGAGGGTATTACATTTAAAACTTAAAGAATAAAAATGGAAAGGTTTTGTTGGCTTTTAGTGGCAAGCCGAATTATGCATGCTGATTGTATGCACTTTGCAATCTAATGAACAAATCAGTTTTTGCTTTCTTTTTCTTTTGCTTTCTTCCCTTATGAAATCTTGTCAGTCGCTTCGATCTTTCATTATACTATTTTACACATTTTACAACATTATTCGCAACAGAAAAACTTCAAGGTATTTATTACATTTTTTTTTGCATCAAGAAAACATAAGAGAATGCTGTTTTGTGAAGGAGACTATATTAAACAATTAGCTTTAAAAAAATTAAGGTGGATCCCAATAATGGATAGAAAGTGATGAGGCAAAATTATGGCAATAATGGCAAACGTCATCTTAGCATTGATACAAGAAACATTAATCTTCATGTGCTGCAAACAAATAAAGCAAAGGTTTCAATGCTCAGATCACTCGGGGAAAGGTAATATTTGGAGAAACGGGCTTTGAGCCACAAAAGTAAGAGATGTTTGATGCCAGGATATGACATCCAAGACACAGTTAAGCAACAGACTGATGCTATCTTGTTTTTTTGGGGGAAAAATAAATTAAATGGGCTGAAGAGTTTTCTTCACCTGAATCTTGTGAATACGATGATCCTATATTTTATAGAGTAAATATGACCCAATGTGCTTCTGTCACCTGTCTGAAATCACTTTTCATTTAGTCCCCTATTCTTTCCTGTACTGTTTCCAGATATATGACAGCTCCTTCTTTCAATTTTTTCATAGGAAATAAACAAATATAACTAAAGCATGTGCAAATTAAACGGTTTTCCAAAAATAGTACAGGTAGGTGCAATCCAATTTACACTGTGCCACCTTGAATTGTGAATATTTATGTATTTGCCTATTTTGTAATAGCATAGCATTGAAGAGAGAAGTCATACCCAAAGAACAGATGCACAGTTTGGGGTGTGAAAATATAAAGTGACATCAGCAGCACCCTATGCTGATGTCAGGGCACAAAATGGCTTGACACACCTCAAAAACCATGTAATTTAAAAGAGTGCTGATGTTCCTTACTACTGCAGACATACTGCTGGTTTTGACAGTAACATCCCATCTGTTGTGGTGCTGACCATGCGATGATTTAACAGATTCCAAATGCTGTGATTAATCTAGTTGAAATTAGATTGAACCTCACAGACTGCAAATCTCCCTTGTACGCAAACCTGCAATCAAAAGTATTTGCAATATTGGCCCCTGTGCCAAACACAGCCACAGAATCAGAGCAATCTGTTGTTGTTGGACTGACCAAAATTAATGCGATGGTGCCCTTTGCTGCAGCCACTCTATCATCCAACAGTGCATAAATATGTATTTCTATAAAACATAACTGAAACTATAAAGAATATGCAAATGTTTTATCAATGCTATGGAGCATGGTTAAGGACTACCACCATTTACAAGATAATCATCAGTGGATGACAGGGAAATTCTAAAATTTACGAGAAAGGTTTAAATGACAAAGGCCTTTTTTTTAAAAAGAAAAAGGGCATTGTCCCCACCTATTAAGCAAATGATATGCAACTATGCATATTCACACAATATTCTGATTTTTACCAGTTTGCCAAATTTGTATGTATTTTTTTTCAATTCATTTTCTTGATCTGTTGTTGCTTTTTCTCTGGTCCCTTTAACTTGATCCTTGTTAGAAACTAATTCCTAAAAGTTGGAGGACAGCAAATTTCCCTCTCTCCAGAGAAGGTTGGAACCCAAACCTGCTGCTTGGGAATTCAAAAAATGTGTTTCTGCTGGAACGCAACATTTTGATTCCATAAAATTAGGAATATGGAATTCATCCACAAACACTATGTTTTGCTTCTTTAAATTCAAGCCTTTATAAGTGTGAACAAATTCAAATTAAGCTAATTTGTTTACTGATTGTATGAAGGGATCTTCCACCATGAGTCACGCTGAAATTATGCATCCTATTTTAACAGGATTCTGATTCAAACGTGGAATACACTGAAACGTTCTCACTATAACCTTATTAATGACCCCATGACTTATCACAGCCAACTAGTTTTAGGCATGCCTAAAGTACATTTTAGTATGGTAATGATGCTCATGTTAGAATAGAGAATCAAAAGCTGATTAAAACATAGGATAAAGAAGAATATTTTAATTATATTATATCCCATACTCCAGAACAAAGACATGCTGTTGCATTTGTTGCATATTTACAGAACAGAAGAGGACCATTCAGTCAATTACAACTGTGTTGGTGCTAGCTAGCTACCTCTATGAAGCCATCTACTCTAATCCTAATCCTCATAGCATTGATCAAATTCCCTTGTAAATGATGTTATGGAATTAGCTACAACAGATATTTGTCATAAACAATCATGTTTCATATGTCACAATCTTAACAATCTGTATAAAAATATTTCTTAATATCTCTCTTTTGCTGAAAATTATATGCGTTACTTGTTACTAACCCACCCATTAGTGGAAAGAGTTTTAAAAAGGGTTTCATCATTTTGAAAAATTATCGAGAGCAAATTTTTCAAATTAGTATTATTACACTATATTTAAATGTCAATTGCCTCATACAATACTCAAATAAAACAAGCAAAATTTGCATCCAACAGCAGAGCAGTACAGTTTATCATTGTTCATCTACCATCAATACTACGAATTCAAATCTCCAACCAGATCTAGGGAAGGTCAAATGTGGGACAAGTACTTTCTGTTTGAATAACCCCTTCCTGGAAGTTAATATACACATTTATACCATTAATCTCAATGCCTTATATAGAAAGTTATTTAATAGTTATGTACGAGAAGCATTTATAACAAAATAGTTGTGCTTACTCACAAATTTTGCACAAATTTCCTAAAATAAAATATATACAACATACTTCAGTAACTTCTGCAATTTATTCATGCTTAGGTTGAAAATTGAAGTTCTGAATATTCACTGAATATGAATTAGAACCAAAATTCATGCAGAGAGATTGACCATGCTACAGACTTCAGTATGGATAACTATATTACAGTGGTTTCCAAATGACTAATTCCATTTTCAATAAAATCAAGTTTGCTCTTATTTTTAAACAATAGGTGAATCATGTAAGCATACTTCAATGGAGGTTGAGTTGACTATATACAGTATTGTGTTTCACTTTAATCTCAACTGTCACATGTAACCTTATGACATTGAACTTTAAACCGTGTTTCAATATAATCTTAATTATCACAAACAACTGCATGACACTGAACTTTAAACCTAATTCTTTATAACTCACAATATCATATATACAGATTATATATACTTAGATCTAATCAATGTAGTTAATATTTTCAGCAAACATGAAAATTTCTGACGTTAATGATTAAAAATAAAGCAATAAACAACACGTATTGCCTCTGTGAACTGGAAAACAGCACAAAGAAAATTCTGCACACTTCGTAGTTTAATCATGTTTAGTTACTTTGCTGCAGAACATTGGTCGCAAAGAGACTGAGAAAATTAGAAAGTTTATTAAATTGATGAAAATCCTCTGCCTTTGTTGAAAAATCTGGTATCCAGCACGTGATCAATCTTCTGGCTTTTGAAAGACTGAAATTCAAACAAACCCTCGTTTTTTTCTCTCTCTCTCTGTCTCAAGACTACTGAAACCACGTTAATCATTCGCTGGGATTATTTTGTTCCAGGCTTCTAAACAAGAGAACTGAAAGCAACAAAGTCGTACAACCAGGACCGGGTTTTAAGTCCTGTGGAGTCCTGGAGCTCAGTGGTGAGAGCACTCGCTTTGCAAGCGATGAGACCTGAGTTCAATTCCAGGCAGGTCAGGGCCAAACCTTGGGCAAGTTTCCTTACTCCACACGGAGCCTGATAATAATCCCTCCAAAAACCCCCAAAACAATAACAAATTGCTCATGTTCAATCTACGACTGTTTGCGGGACACCGCTGTGCGCAATCGGCGGCCGCGTTCGCCCAAGAATATACAGTCAATCCACTGTACAGTGTGTCCTGTGAAGCCCTTCGGGCGCACGTCCGGAAGACGTGAAAAGCGCTCCATCAAATGCAAGGATCATTATCATCATTACCATTATTATCATCATCGTCATTAAGCGTGAATTTCAAGCACCGGCTTTTTTCCATAAAGCGCCGCGCGAGTACAAAAGGCAATTGGCTGCCGCGTTCGCCCACAAATATAGACGGTCAATTCACTTTACAGTGTGTTCTGTGAAGCGCTTTGGGGGTTCCTCCACGACGTGAAAAGCGCTATATCAAATGCGAGGATTATTATTATTATTATTATTATTGTGCGACACAGAAGGCGCATCTGGTGGTGCAGCTCTTTATTGCCGGTGGGTTTAACAGCTCACCCCGACTGTCCATGGTGCTGAAAACCCGGGCGTTACACACACACACAACACACACACACACCACACACACCGAGGACGGACTGTTGTTTGGAGCCGTTTTCGTTCCCACCGCGTCTTCCTCCTTTCCTCCCGACGAACCCGGCGCCGCAGGGCCCCGATTACCACCGAAAGAAAACCGCGACCGACCGAGCGAACGAACGAACGAACCATCGGGAGAAAGAGAGAGAGAGAGAGCGAGAGAGAGAGAGGGGGGAAAAAAAATATGTCTCTCCAAGAAATTAAAACCTGCGTCAGAGAGAGAGAGAGAGAGAGAGAAATTCCGCCGAGAGAGGAACGGGGGTGAGAAAAGACGAGCGGCCCCGACGGAACCGACCGTGACACCTCACGGCGTTTGAGGCAGTTATACACTCACACACACACACACACACACGGCCGCCATCCCTCCCCTCCCCTCCACACAAAAAAAAATAAATTTAAACAAACGCTTAGATTTATCGTCCGAGCGTCCATCCCCTTCGGTGAGGATCTGAACGGTGTCCCCCACCCCACCCCCACACACCACCCCTTCCCTCCAGTGTATGACCGGTCTCTTTCTTACCCGCTCTCTCACAGAGTTGTAAAGTCTCCGGACTGCTTAAATTCTTCAGCGCGTCGTCGCAGGGACTGGCGGCGATGCCGACGCTGTGAGCTCGATGTGCATCCATTTTGCAGCGATATTTTCTCTCTCTATATATATATAAAGATAGATAGATTTCTCTCTCTCTCTCCCTCTCCCTCTCTCTCTCTATATATATATATGTACGTGGTTTGAGGTTCGCACGAGTCACCTCGGTTTCCGTTCCCCACCCCCCACCCCCCCACTCCCCCACCCCCCCTCCCCGGCACGATATTACTCGAGGATTTTCACTGGGAGAAGGAGAGAGCGAGAGAGAGAGAGAGAGAAGAAGAAGAGCAGCGTCAACGACGAGGCGAACAGCTCCCGACCGCGGATTGACTGCACTGTGAGGAGGAGCAACGCACCGCGATCAACGGCCCTCGCGCGCGCGCGCGTGCGACCAGTCAGTCAGTCAGTGCCCTCCCTCTCCCCCTCTCCCTCTCCCCCTCCACATCAACGCACGAAAGAGATGGAGGAGGAGGAAGAGGTGTGAGGCGGAGGCTCCTCCACACACACACACACACACGCACCGAGATTTGAACTCGAACTCGACGGCGGTTGTCGTCGAGGCGGGTGTACACCCTAACCCGGCGTTTCTATTTCTTTCTTTCTTTATTTCTTTCTTTATTTTCTTTGTTGATGCAGATATAGATATTTTCTTTTTTTTATAAAGAAAAAAAACCCCCAATGTAACAGTACAAGCGCTGTAGATGGAGCCATTTTAATTATCCCGTGTAATATTCAGTCCCATTGTCCGGGGGAGAGGGAGAGGGCGGGAGGGAGGGTCCCGCTTTATAGGACACTCACTGGCAGCTCAGGCCTGGACTCTGCCAATGATATCTGACTCTTTACCTCTGGGTGTCCGTCAGCCTTGACTCACCTCCACTCCCTCCCTCCCTCCCTCACCCCCGACTTGTCCCTCAGTGGTGCTGGTACCTCAGGCCCCCACCCCCACCCCTTCACCCCATGGCCTCCCTCAGCGGTTATATAATATATATAATATATATATATTGTGTCTTTCATGTCGGGAGGATGTCCCAAGGCGCTGGGATATAAGAATAGGAACCCGAACATATGCCAACTACTCACCCTGGAGTGTCCTTTATGGACTCCCTCAGGACTGACCTTCCCACCCAGGGTGAGGAGGTGCCCCCTCAGCCCCTCTCCCCGGGATGTGTCTCAGCCCTGTACCTGGTGTCTGTCTCTATGTCTGTACCTGTATCGGTCCCCATGTCTGTACCTGGTGTCTGTCCCTGTGTCTGTACCTGTATCGGTCCCCATGTCTGTACCTGGTGTCTGTACCTGGTGTCTGTACCTGTATCGGTCCCCATGTCTGTACCTGGTGTCTGTACCTGTATCGGTCCCCATGTCTGTACCTGGTGTCTGTCCCCATGTCTGTACCTGGTGTCTGTCCCATGTCTGTACCTGGTGTCTGTCCCTGTATCGGTCCCTGTGTCTGTACCTGGTGTCTGTCCCCATGTCTGTACCTGGTGTCTGTCCCTGTATCGGTCCCTGTGTCTGTACCTGGTGTCTGTCCCCATGTCTGTACCTGGTGTCTGTCCCTGTGTCTGTACCTGGTGTCTGTACCTGTATCGGTCCCCATGTCTGTACCTGGTGTCTGTACCTGGTGTCTGTACCTGTATCGGTCCCCATGTCTGTACCTGGTGTCTGTCCCCATGTCTGTACCTGGTGTCTGTCCCCATGTCTGTACCTGGTGTCTGTCCCTGTATCGGTCCCTGTGTCTGTACCTGGTGTCTGTCCCTGTGTCTGTACCTGGTGTCTGTACCTGTATCGGTCCCCATGTCTGTACCTGGTGTCTGTCCCCATGTCTGTACCTGGTGTCTGTCCCTATGTCTGTACCTGTGTATGTACCTGGTGTCGTTTCTCCTGAGCTCCGGCTCCGCCGCCTCTCAAGCCCTGAACAAATGGTGTCTGCCGGGGGGCACCTCGTCACTGGCAGCAGCGCGAGGTCAGCCTGGAGCAACCTGACGACTGAGCGAGTCAGGATCAGGTGTCTGTGCTGAGAGCATCGGCACGACCTTCACTGTGAGCCCAAGAAACTAACCCGATCTCCTCCTGCTTCGAGTCCCCTCTTCTATTTATTGGGCATCAAAATGGCTGTGTGTGTGTATTCATCTATTTAAGAGATTTTCTAGTCCTTAACTATTCCCGCATTTCTAAACACAATTCAATTTGCATTTAAATTTAAGTTATTGCGTAATAATCCTTGCATTTGCATTTGATATAGCGCTTATTACGTTCTTCGAGACATCTCAAAGCGCTTCACAGAGTAGACTGTAAAGTGAACTGACTATATTTTGTGGGTGAAACGCGGCAGCCGATTGCGCGCAGCACTTCCACGAACAGTCGTGGATTGAGTGACCAATTTATTTTTTTATTTATTTATTTGACGGGATTACTACCCCCGGAAAAGCGATCTGCCAATTGGCTAACAGCCGGATTCCTATTTACTGCTAGGTGAACAGAAGTGTGTGGAGTAAGTTAACTTGCCCAATGTTTTGCCCTGTGTGGGATTCAAACCAGGTCCTCTTGCTTGTGAGGTAAGCGCTCTTGCCACTAAGCTACAGAATCAATAGATGGAAAATTTTACACATTTGGAAGCATCTGCTTTTGAGAAGATTGTGGCTCAAGGAAATGTAATATGTACTCAGTGCTGTGAAACACGATTGCTTTTTTCTAACGTTTGGTACCACAAGTTCAGTGCTGGCACAATAATTTTATAATGAATCTATCATCTGATAAGATAACACAAGTACATTACAAACAATCGCCTACCCTTGGACTCCATATATTGTTGATAACCAGCGTGGCATTTAAAAAATAGTTTTGCAATAAAGTTGCATATTTTTATTATCAGTTCCTATTGATACACTGCCTAGCTTGCATAATATCCGGGTTTTAACATTCCTCACAGCACTCTTTTAATTGTCAGAACAGCAAGAACCAGCACAACTTTCCACTGTTTTTCACACTTTGCAATTAATCAGATATTGTTACCATGGCAAAGCATCCTGCAAGATATTTCACCACTTCATCACCTGCATACAGAGCAATGTACAAAGGCAGGATCAGCCACGTCTGGCACTTAGTGATCTTTAATTTTGGTTAAAAGATGAACCCAGGTGACATTTTGAAAGTTATGTAATTCAACATACTTTGTTAATATCATTAATGTATCTCATATGGCTATGTAAGCATGAACCTTGATTTTGGTCTGCCATTTTGAAATAAAAATATTCTAACGGAATGTATAGCATCTCCTAAAACAACTAAGCAGAGTTTTCTGAGTGTTCTTATGTGAGTCATAATAATTTTTGTATTTGAGTACAAGGTATTTGAATCAAAAAAATTGCTTGCACTGCTATTGCAAGTAGTGATCTTAACGCTTAAATCAGATTTTTTGTTTTATTGTGACTGCTGAAAAAAGATTTGCCGAAACTCAAGGAGTGAATCAAATTAGATGGAAAATGGAGAGAAAGATGACAATAATAATCCTTACACTTGATATAGTGCTTTAATACATCATTAAAATGTTTCAAAGAGCTTCACATGATTCACTGTGAAGTGTAGTGACTGTAAGCAGATGTGACAGCCAATTTGCACACAGCAATGTCCGCAAACAGCCATGAAGTGAAATGCCAATTATAGGGGAATTGTTGATCAGGACACTAGGAAAAACTTATTTTTTGGAGTAGTGCCATGAGATCTTTAATATCCACCTGAATAGGCAGATGGGATCTTGCTTTCATGTCTCTAATGAATGATCTGTTAAATGGCATCTTTAATAATGCAGTGCAAACATCAGCCTAGACTAGAGAAATACTAGTCTAGGAGGGAAACAGAATAAAAAGTGTGAGTAGAAATATTTATATATATATATACACATATGGAATAGACAAAATGGGAAACAAGACAAATTGAGAACAGTGGTGGGTGACACACTCTGGAGACCCCAAACATTGGCTCTTGTCAACCTGTGCCTAATTTCTGGAATCATGTAACTAGGGTGTGTCCCTCCAGGATACACACATTTCTGCTTGCAAACTGACTACCACATTCATCTATAAAATAGTAACTACATCACCCAATAAATCCTGTGGAGTGTTTTGAGTTGCCCTTCAAACCATAAAAACAATGGTCCAATAAAAGTCCTTGTGAAGCTGGGGTGGAGTATGCTATGGTTAAGCAAATTGAATTCATTGCCAAATGAGAAGTATAAATGCAGACAAATGTCCTACAGAAAAGACATTAGAAACACATTATGATTATTTTCTACATATTGATTTGAGCCTTGCTCTTTGTCATCACAGACTGAAGCAAAGGTTAAAAAAAGGTTTCAACTCTCTGTTAGTCAGGTTGCAGTTTTACATATTAAGTAACTGACCATATTTAAATTACATCTTTAATGCATCTTAGGTGAGGCAAACACCCGTATAAAAATACACCAAATCAATAATAGCTATAGAACGTAGCTGCTAATTTTTTAAAAGTCAATGTATTTAATTTTCCTTAGCTAAACTCATGGGATATTGATATTCATAACTGGTAGCTATATTTGGGTTCACGTAAATTCATAGTGCATTGTTGCAGAGGAATTTTAATCCATTGGGATGAGATTTAATTTGATGTTACTATATGCTCAATTTGACTTGCTGAACTCTGGAGTAAACGTAAATGGATTCCATGAGCATTTCTGATAAATTTTCTCCCCATCTAAACAAAAGTTAGACATTTTCATTATATTTGTATGTTATTGAAATAAAAACTATTATTGAATTTATTCCCAGAGCGAATAAAATTACACAACAAATAACTGCAAAGTAAATGGTTTCCGAGGTAACTAAAGGTGAGAGCTCAGTATGGTCCAAAAACTAGAATCTTTAATTGCAAATGAATCTGGCTGTGAATATAGATTTGACAATATACTACAATAAACCCTTTCATATCATTCTTTTGAATTATTTTGGTCGTCAAAAGTCCAGTGTATGACAATAAATGTGATAGTATGATTTTGTAATTTGAAGCTACATTTTACAACAGCAAT